TATATAATAATTATATATAGTGTGTGTGTGTGTGTGTGTGTGTGTGTGTGTGTGTGTGTGTGTATTATNTGTTATATATATATATATATATATATATAACAACTATATATATTTATATATATATTATTATTATTATTATTATTATTATTATTATTATTATTTATTTACCACAAACGGATATATATATCAGTACGTCCGACATTCAGTTTCATTTAGATACATGTGCTGACACCTTTCGGTATGCCTGTAGGTGGTTTCACGCCATGAAGATCTGCTGCAACAGGCGTCAGGAATACATAAACTTGAGAGTGTGTTGTCCACAATCAATGCGCGTGTCATGGCTCTCCAATCCTCCGTCAGCAGAATCATGAGCAGAATTGACGAACCCCACAAGAGAATGCAAACCAAGTTGAGACAACTAGAACGCATCCAGGTGTGGCGTATGCGTGCGTGTGGCTGTGCTGGTAGGCATAGGCAAAACATATCTGTACGCCTGTGCTTTGTGCTGGGACTATCTATGTCTGGAGATAGCCTCAATCGGGTGCACTACAGACCATCAATACGTTAAATAGATCGGACACTACCGTTCTATTTATAGTCTCATGTGGAATAGCTGTAGCGTGCGCAAGGGCATGGGATGTGTGTACTCTTCCTTAACAGTCGATGTAGTGATGTATATGCATATTCCTGTATGCACCCGTCTAGTCGTACTCCCTATCTAACAATCCACTACACCTTACTATCTACACACTGTCTCGCTGATGAATAGTACGCTTGCGACATTCTACGGCGAACCATACGGTTTCTATACGTTTTGAAGCGACTCAGAGACCAGGTGCAGCTGGGTGATCGTCACATACCCAAAGCAGGTAGGAATAATATAATTTATTCTACTTCTGGGTTTGATGTTTATGAGCCCATGCGTTCATCAGTGTACGTTAATGTACGTATTGGAAGACGCGGAGATCGCTTGCAGCAGGGCAATAGGCACATCTCCAGGCAGATAGGGCTGGTGAGATACGTTTTTCTGCTAGTTCTTTTAGTAGTTTAGACACCCTTACTTCCATTGCGTGAGGTTTTATTATGCGGAAGCTATCCAGAAACCTGCACAAATTGGTTGAAGGACGTATGTACGGCGGGAGGTGACTTTATCCCCGCTATATTAACTCAAAGGTACAGCTACATGCACACATACACACGGCCCACACTGAGATACCTGCTAAATACACTGATATATCCTTTGACAGACACCCCGACATATATACATAAACACATGAATGCACAAACATCCATGTAGAACACTGATAGAGCTGCTGGCTGACTTGGAAGCAGGACATAGATTGAATATGATCCAATGAAATGAATGTGATGATTATGAGATGCACAAACTATATATACGCCTACTCTAACACAGACCTGTACCACGTAAGCATAAACAACACTACACCTGCGCATTCGCACAAATACACGCACACATGCGCCCTTACATGCACAAATGGATGTACGCGCACACAGACGTACTTACACACCGACCAGGTATAAATGCACACGTATATACATGCCTACCATACGCCAATGAATGCTCACATATACGCAGCACAAAGCTTGGCTGATCTTGAAGAAGTGCTGACTGATGGAGACGGACTCAGTGGAGTGTATGTGGTGGATGCGGAGCGAGCATGGGTAGAGGAACAACGCGTGCTTGTAGTGAAGAAAGCCAATCACATGCTCAATACCGGTCTAAAGAGCCAGAACCAGGGCGATATCTCCACGGCGCTGCAGGTGTTTTACAATCTAGGTGTGTCGAAAAGTGGATTATTATTATTATTGTTATCATTATCATTATTATTATTGTTGTTGTTGTTGTTGTTGTTGTTGTTGTTGTTGTTGTTGTTGTTGTTGTTGTTGTTGTTGTTGTTGTTGTTGTTGTTGTTGTTGTTGTTGTTATTATTATTATTATTATTATTATTATTATTATTATTATTATTATTATTATAATATATATTTATATGTATACATATATATATATATATACATATATATATATACATATATATGAGAGTGTGTGTATATAATAGCATGTACAAAATATGTTGGGTGGTCAACACTTATAATCTTCACATGGTTTTCTGTCCACTAAACCCTACCAACAGTTGCACATCTCTTGTGCACACACCTGGAAGTATTCTCTAAATAAACATACCACCGCATTCTGCTCAGGAACACTGCGCGCCCGTTCTGTTGCGGTGCTGGACAGTCTTAAAAGTACCATCACCTCCAACATACGCGACACACTGGCGGCAGCTGCCATGGGCAACAGCACAACGCAAGGTGTGTTGGGCTACTACTTGGTACACGACTATTGATTACTGTAAGGATTCATATATCGACGCGTGTGCTTTTAAATGTACTTACATATTTTAATATCAGTGCGAATATATTGATACAGAAGCTATTCATAATACATCACATTTAAGTATCAGTACGGATATATTGAGGAAGCTATTCATAGTACATCTATATATTTCAATTTTAGTAAGAATTATTGATATGGAAGCTATTCATATCTGTGCCAAGACCAGGATTGCCATAGACTGACTGTGTGAAAAGCTAATCAATTCCTGCCTGTGTATGTCCACTGTCTGAGGTGAGTTTTTACACATTGTTCTGCCCTTCGATTACTGATAGCTATATGCGAATAGTATATATGTACGTATACACATGTATATCATATGCGTACATGAATCAGTGCCGATGTGTACATGCATGTTGATTATACACAGTTTATGTGTGCATGCATATTCAATATATGCAGTGTATGTGTACATGCATATTTATTATACACTTAATACGTGGACATGTATATTTTCTACACATGGTATATGTGTATGCCAGCTAGTAACTACCTTCTGTGCGGAGCCATGGAATGCCAGCGACCGATCAATCGACAAAATCTTCAGCTTTAATATGCAATTAAGCTATTATAAATTTCTGGTTAACAAAAATTTTGTCTACTTAATATATATATATATATATATATTAAGTATATATATATACATATATATTGTATAT